CCCCTACTCCTTACTCTTTCCCAGAAATAAAATTCTGCTGGGAAAATACAGTAGAAAGCCAGGTTTCCAGTCATACGTGTTTTTCAGACTTATATAGCTAGATAAGAATTTGCCCTAGTTTTTGTTGAATCTGGGAACTTTAAATACATTCAATACAGGCATACACAAAATTAAAAATAGTTTATTTTCTGACTTTGAACTAGAAAATATATGTGCATCCCTGCTGCATTTGTATTTATTTTGAATGAAGACCAAACTCTGCAACAGATCTACCCAGAATGATTCACTGATTCACATAACAGTTGTGCCCAGTTCACCTCAAGGGATTCCAAGATAAATTAATCTGAATTTGAAAGGTGCTTATCTACTCAGTATCAAAGTCTACAAAAGAGATGTAACTACCTGAACGAACGCACTGTGCGTACAAAGGCTGTTGTTATCCCATAAGTAATGAAACACACAGGGCTCTGATGGGATGTTGAGAGGCCTGCTGTGTTCCCTGCATTTTGCTTAGTTTCATTCTGCATCTGTTTTACTTCTGATTCTTTACAACACTAGGAAGCCATGTGAAGATTAAGAACTGAGAGAGAGCATTAAACGACAGCAAGGTGCTGTTCTTGAATTGTTTAAGAGGCTTCTACTCCTCAACTTCAAGTGGGAACTATTTTGCTGAGACCTGGTAACTCATTGACAGCTACAGTCTCAAGTAAAACAGATTTATCTAAGCCAACACTTGTTTCAGGTCCCTTACACTAGAAAAAAACCTAAGAAGCCTAGGTCCTGTTGGAATAAAATTCTGCTCTTTGTTGGGTCTTCTAAGTACAGTTCCTCCATACATTGTTTTCTGATATTTTTATTTTTAAGAAAAGTTTTCCTAGGTGAAATTACAGTTTCCGTTCTACATTGAGTCTGAAAAATTAAGTAACCAGCCTAAGTTTTATTTTGTTTCTCTAAAGCCTCTTTTTGCCACTGAACATAATAAAATTATTTTGGCAAGCTCTCCCTATCTTTTTCTTTTCTTCTCTGTGACTTCTTAGATCAGGAGGCGTTATGCAGTAGCAGAAAAAATGTAGCACCATAACTACAAAACTTAGCTTCTACCCAATATGGTATAAGCTTTGAAAAGCTACAGAAGATAAAACAAAAAAAAGCCTCAGAAGAAAAAAAAAAAAAAAGACAAAACCTTATAAAACTGTACAGCACCTATTCACTCTATTCAGTGGCCAATAGGATATACAAAAATACAAAAACTAACAAAAAGTTGGGGGTATTTTTTCTATTAGGTTCTTTAATAATATAATTATATATATTAAATAGATTTCTTCCAGTTCTGTTTTTAAAAAAATACTTTGTTGAAAACTACAATATTCTAGTTATAAAACTGTATTTTCATTTTTTGTGTAAGACTTTTATATTTTTCTAGCCTTCCTGACCCATTTTTTCCAGGTAGCTTTCTAGTTTCTCAAATCAGCCATCGTCCTGGCTGGTTGCTTTTGCATGCCTCTACAGAGCCACAAGATATTTAACAAAAAAAGAACTTCAAAGTAAACTCTCAAGTACTGCACTGATCAGCTTAAAAAGCATCCTCCTCGAACTATCAAATAAAATTTAGTATGTATCTGGAGCATGGTAGCTAATTCTCTCCGGTCACACCAACATAGTTAATCTATATAGCGACTTCAGACCACAAGTCTTCTGTTAAGGAACGTTGTATGTGTATCTCCTGTCTACAGACAACAGCATGACTCTTTGCCTGCTTTTGCTAGAAAGGCAGGCTGTCAGTTGATGTGACCCTGATGTTGTTACCCAGCTATGTTTGACACAGTGTACAAAACCCTGAAGCACAGCCTTAAATCTGAGACACCTGGTGGATGGTTTGTAAAGAATAATAATCAGATATAAAAATTTGGCAGTAAAGTAGTGAGAAGCCTGCTGCATCTCCCTCCTCCAAACAAATTAGTCTGTAACTGCTTCCACTAGTATTGAAATGGAGACAGTTTTTCTGCAGCAAAACTTACAGCATAAAGAATACCATATCTGCACACCAGGTGAGTGATAGCTTACAAAGATGGGGACAGTTAATATCAAACTATTACCTGACAGCAGGAAAGCCCAGGGGACAGCTTGACAAGGAAAGGGCTCCCCAAATGAGACATGGACACCTTTGTGTTCACCTGATGTGATCCACTGAAAAAAATGAATGATCCTGTAAACAAAAACCAAAGAAACAGGAGAAATACATCATGTTCCAATGGCAAAATGCTACCTCAGAGAGCTAACTATGTGCTCCATGACGCACATAAAACTCATTCATAAATGTAAACAAACAAAACAGCTTTGCCGTCAGTTCAGCCTCTGTAGATAACGAGGAGGGTGTTGTAATATACTGCAACAACCAGTGTCTATGTAGGCAAAGACAAAATAGAATTGCTAAATGATTCTCCCTCTTTGCTCCTGATTATAAGTAATATAAAACAAAATTAACATGCCTAATATCAGAGATGAGGAAAGAAGGGGAAGGAAAAAAGGGTATTTGGGCAGCCATTGCTAAGACCACCCTGTCATCGTGCCTGCAAACACTTAACTCTGAGGAAGTATATACAGAGCACTGCAAAGGGCGTTCAGATGCTGCTTCTGTGAGGGCTTTACTGTGCAGACTCACTGGATGTATTTTTTTATCTGCTTTCTTTAGGTAAAATCCTTAAGACCTCCATCCTCCAAACGCTACAAATACTTCCAATCACCTTCGTGTGGCGCCCTTCTGCTCTCTGCACAGGCTGGGGAGAGCAAAGAGACTGGAGGAGCTGCAACACAGAGCACTCTGGAGATCAAACAGCATAGACCTCAGCTGGGATCCCTAAAGGACATATTTTAATTGGCTTAAATAATGTTTCAAACAGAATTTAGAACAAAAAATAATTTTCTTTAGGGTACAGTATTCACTCAGTGCAGCCCAGCCAGTTTTAAGCATGCTAACAATGTTGCAGACCATGGGAGCCAATGGAATAAGCTATATTTTTCTCATGGGGTCCATAGACTTGACATTGTTGTCTGTGCTAGTGGGGATGAAAGCTTAATTAAAGATCTAATCTGAACTCTGGCAAATGAACTGCCTTTGGATTTGAACTACAGCAGATGTGCTTCAGACAAAGGTAGGGAAGGATAAACATCTTCAAGGGGCCCTAAAGCAGCATACTTTGAATGCCGTCAGTGCTGCCTTCACTGAATACTGAGACTTTTTCATGAAAGTCTATGCAAAACACCACTAAAGGCTCAGCCTTGTTTGTGCATTGATATTACACATATTGCCTTGCATCTTGGAAAATCAGCTATTGTGCTGCCACAGTCATACTCCTCAACCATTTATTTCCCATGGATACATAATGAAGCAGAGGGTTAAGTCCAGCCCCATGTGAATAATCGCATCGCTTTAGCAAGGCTGGCACAAAGAGGTGACCGTTACAGCTCCTTGTACAAAGAGGCGTGCTGCGCTCCACAGCACGAGGGAAGCTCCCCTCATTGGAATGCAAGGGCACTTCAAAGGATCCTCTTTTAATTTGCAGCTGAGGCTCTACAGTAGCCTTGTTAAGACCATTAATCAAAATTTGCTGCTGCCCTCGCCAGGAGAGAAGAGAGATGAACACTCTCCCATATCACAAACAACTGCTGCAACCTAAAGGACCTTGATTTAATGTTGGCAAAAACTCGCTCAAATTTTGGAAGCCTAATTCTAAAGCCGTGGTGTGGCTGTAGCAGGCACAGTGGTAGAGAGATAGGTACAAAACCACCTCAGAATAACCTTTGCAGTAACTTACATGGGGAATGTGTCATGACTGGGCTTGAGAAGTGCTGCATGGTAACCTCAAGATCTGCTTGAGGCTTCTGTCTGCAACAATGTATAAAGATGTGAATCCAACTTGTAATGATTCAGCTATTGAAGCAGCTTAAGTGCAGCAGCATATAGTTCCATATGGGGTAATTTAACATGCTGCTTAGGCTGCAGAGCAGATGTTTCTACCAGCAGCCTTCATTATGACCACATTACATCTCAGATCTCACCAGCACCTAGAACAACCCTCATGAGAAAGACTCATATCAATGTCTTTCTCTGGAGCTGTGAGAGTTCGGAAGCTGTGACACAGTAACGTTTACAGACAATGCAGTAATGCAGATCCAGTGCCACCCTAGAGAGACAATAAAATTAAATATCAAATAGCTGCTGAGAAAGTGTATAGCAACTTTGGTGCACTTCATCACTTGGGGACGGAAAAAAAGGCATATTGTTGTGCAGTTAGAGTTGTTACATAGCATGCACACACATACTCACACCCCACTAGATTTTGCTCAGGCAAATTTTAATCCCAAAATTCCTCTACCTTTGAATGCTTGAGTTGGAATACTTAATATTTCACATTCCTTTAACATGAACATGGGAGAGAAGTATGGAGGTCTGGCTGCAAGTTAATATACAACAGTAAAAAAATTTAATTTAAAGGAGTATTGGACTGTAACTCAGATTTTAGAATAATCTAATATCCACTGAAGACAGTGTAATAGAAACATTTTAATAAAATTAAAGTCAGTGAATATTTGCCAATACTGCTTGACAATGATAAACGTGCTAGGCAGTTTTAGTTTTATACAGTATACTGCAATAACATTTTCATTTTGGAAAAATACTTTAAAACTGGAATAAACTTTTTCCCACTGAATGCATTGTATAGCAACTATGGGCTGAAGGAAGAACAACTGTTCAAAGGATATTACACTCTCTCTATTTTTCCCAGAAAAAAAAAAAAAAGAATAATTTACCCACACTCTACAAAAAGCTATGGTGATATTTTGTCCAAATATTTTTAAGAATGGCCCCTGTGTGAGTATTTGGTACAAACATGCTTATGATATGCGTGAACAAAGTTAGTCAGTTCAAAGGGCAGTGTCTCAAAAAACTGAAGGCTGCAGCAGGTCTTGTACTTCATTGATTGCCCCAGCAGAAAATGAAGGTTACAAAGGCATAACAACCAAATCACACCTAAAAAAGAGCATTCCTTAAAGACTAGCTTTCTGTAATGTGTTACCTAGGTCATATACATCTTATGCAGCGTTCACTTAAAATCAGTTTTTATTATCAGTCTGTCACCATGTACAAATACAAATACTCATCACAGAAGGAAGAAAATAATAACAATAAAAGAAATCTCACCATGTTCAGTATTAGTTGTGTGACCTCTGCCAGGGAGTCTCCTGTCAAGGGGAGCCTGTTCTTTCATTATGTTCCAGTCAGCGTCAGCTAGGCTTAATGGCTTCCATCCACAGAGGTCAGTCTCAAAATCGCAGATAGTGTAATTAGCTGTTGTAAAAAGAACAACATTAACAGAGCATTAAGTCAAATTTAATGCAAGAGTTTAATGCCAGAACTATGACTATTTCGTATTGGGACAAAGAGTCTTAAAGAAGCACTGGTATGTTTCACTGAAATCCAGATTATTCAGATGAACAAAAAGTTCTAGTATACAGGTAACAGGTCAGGCAGGTCTTTCTCAATCAAACTCAGAATGATGAAGGAAACAACCCAATAAACTATATTGTATTAAATATGAGACTTATACATATGCTGCTGATAGATTATGAAAGTAATATCTCATATTTTTAAAAGATTAATTTTACTGTAAAGTTAATTATGAATGTGTGGGAAAAAAACAGATGTATGTAGTGCTTTAAGTACACTGACAGCAAAGATTAATTAAGTTTCCACCTTATTTTTGACAATTTGATTTAAATTTATGAATTATTTAAGTCTCCCAGGAATTTTTATTGCAAAGTAAAAGACTTTTCTCCGATGGCATGGATTAGACCAACTCTAATTCTATGTAACAATCTCACACACTCT